GAGACGTGAAATAAAAATTAAATCTTCAAAATGTGTGTTGAATAAGTTTATGTACAAAATGCAAAATATTATTGTTAGAGAGTAAAAAGAATGCACAATTTCTTAAAGAATTTTTTTTTTAATTCAATAGGAGGTTTTTTACCTGCATAATAAAATAAATATTATTGTGAAGTAAATAATCAATTTTTTGGAAATATATAAGAAATATTAAAAATAAATATCAATTTGTGATTAAATATCAACAATCCTACTAATGATTGTATTTTATTTTTGTAACATGATTAGAATGTTGTGATCAAAACTAAAAAAACAATATACTCTTTACAACATTGTAAAAAAAATTTAAGTCATTTTTTTCTTTCAAACAAATATAAAAGTTGATATTAATAACAATAAGAGATAACAAAGTCAATTTTGCACTATTAGAAGGCTTTGAAGTATGAAAAGTTTAAACATGTGTAAATATTGAATACATATTATAAAAACGTGTGTTGCAAATGAGTATTAAAAATTAAAATTTAAGTCAGAAATATCAATTTACAAATTCAAAATGTATAATAAAATGTATTTTTACACAAATTTCAATAATCAAATAATAAATTTCTAACGATTTGGATTTTTGATGTTTTTTGACTTTCAAACATTTGATTGTGAAGATCACGCTATTTTAATATTGTGTGTAAATCATAATATATCTTCATTTTCAAAGAAATGATTTACAAATCTTGGAAAATTATATTATTTTAGGTTTTAAAAAACTCATTACAAAATTATGTTTCAATATAATAATTAGATCAAGTTTTCTCTTATAATTTATTGAATTTTTACACATTTAATCTTGTAAAGTTTACAATAAAACTACGTTCATTTATTGTCAAACATGCATAATTTAGTATAATGTATAGTAAAACGTTTACATCACTTAATTTCAAGTGCATTTTGGAGTTTAAATGAATGTGGATGGATAGCCAATGATGAAAGTTGCCCATACATCATCGAGATCAGACAAATCAAATTCTGTAATAATAACTTTTTCATTTCCAAAATATATCCAAAAGTCAGCAAATGGAGTATTACATATACAAAACTTAACTATACTCGATTTAAATTGTTGATAGGGATCTCACATCTATCAATTTAGAAGATGATGAATAGAGTAATTTTGTTGTACATAAATACATATAAGAAAATTTGATATACTGAAATATATCAAATTACTTTGATATGATTAAAATCATATCAAAGTAATTTATCAATTACTTCTATGTAAAAATACTTTGGCATATTTGAATTAGATGACGCACTTACTTTTCATAAACCAAAAAGTTGTCACAAGTTCATGACAAGTAATTGATTCATACCACTGTTCTTGATACAACCATATTTTAAATCATGTGTAACGTATTACGCAATATTGACATTTTTTTTAATTGATAAAAGAGTAGTGCTCTTGTTTTTCATTGCATCTTTGAGAATATCATTTCTTGTTTGTGTTTATTGAATCTAATTTACTTCAAAATTTGATTAACAACAACTACTAATCATTGACTCAAGGTCAAGATTCGCACGTCAACATCAAAATCTAGCGACGATAAGCATGCAATCAATGTGCAAATATAAAGCAACATTATGTGAACTGAATTGAAATAACTTCAAAGGTGAAAACACCTAGTGAAAAAATGACACTTCAGCTCCATCAACTTACTTCAAATTCAAATTGAATTTTCTTGCCGCCCAAATTAACTTGTTAATGAGACTTAATTAATTTAATTTAGGTAATTTAGGCAATTGACTAATATAACCATGATTGCTTATTGCTAAACAATATTTCATTGCTTGAATATAAATTACTTTGTATAATTATTATTATACACAATTTATTTCGAATTTTTTATAATATTCAAATTTCACAAACAAATATTGTCATTCTTATATTATTTTTAAAATGTTGTTAATTATTGAAGTCTAGCAAAAATTTTAATATTTGTATCTTGATCTGCATCACATCATTGCTATTTTGATTTTGTTTCAAAAAACTTGACTATATTATACTCAAAATAGTGATAAAATTAACAATTAATGTATTATGTACTATCATCACATCAACAATTTTATGTGGTGGATATGTAAGTATAGAATTTGTTACAAAGCGAGATTTTTCAACAATGTCAATGGATTAGATTTAAGTTAATTCATTAAGAGCTACATGTAAGCAAATTTTTTTGCTTGATAGATTTATGTTTGAATGCGTTAGTTGAGAATGACAACAAATTTGTGTGGTTTTTTAGCTAAATTTATCATTTTGTTTATTCACAAGAAATGAAATGTACATCAAAGATGATATTTTATAATCATGTATATGTTTAAAAATTCTATATAAAGAAGAGCAAATGTAGTTTGAAAAATATGAAGTATATTTAGCATTATAAACTATGTAATAAAGTTATTCAAAAACTGATCAGTTTTGTAATTTTTAACTTTACTTTACATCAATTTTTTTTCAATAAACTTCAACAAAATTATTCCTTAATTTATTCATTTTAAAATTGTTTTTTCCTATTTTTTGTACGATCAATCCTTTGATATGAATCTAATATATATTATTTCAGTATTAATTTACATTTTTTTCAGAATGAAATTTATTTTGATTCTTTTAAATTTAAATTATATTAAATATGTTCTAATTAAAAATGAATTTATCAATATTATTTGCCTTATAACTAATATTTTTAATGGTCATCAAGATTTTCATTGTCATTAGAATTTAAACTTGAGATTTGAGCATGCAGATACAAATGACCTGGAATATCAATCCAAATTTTATGTACATGTATATTGATGGATGAAAACACAAATGTGTAGTTTCTGTTACAATAATAATATTCTTCAGGAGATGATTATTACATGAAACGGAGGTTCTCATCAATTGTGAATACATTAGGTTATGTCAATTGCATGATGTCAGTCCTATGCAGTTCAAATTGAAAACAAAATAATAGCAATCGCAAGAATATAAAAAATAAATTTTACTTAAGAGAGATCATGTAGCCTCTATCGGTGTAGTCAATTGTATGTACAATTGTCATGATAGGTCGTGAGGCAAATTGTAGCTTACGCTATTATATGCTCTAGATTTTTCAGTTGTAGTTGAGACGTTAAAAGATAGAGATCAAGACAGGAAAACGCGCGTGAAAACGCAAACGCAGCTACGTCCATGGAACACTTCAACCTTCATTTGAAGATAGCTTTCGTGAGTTCTCTTATATGGTTCTCATATATAATAACAGTTCAAATAGCCTCATGACCTGGAGTTAAGCTAACATAAATTAACTCTAAACACATAGAGGAAAATTTTACTTTTTATTTATGTTTCTTTGTTCAAAATGCCAAATCTTAAGTTTTATGTGTCTTATGTAATAGTATATGATTTATAGGATAAATAAAATATCCATTGTGCTATAATTAAGAAGAACAAGATTTCCAGTTTTCAAACTTATTATCATCATTTAAAACTAAGTATCAAGCCATAATTTTCTTAGAAAATGTATCTGAAGCAAGAGACTAAATATAAATACGTGCATTGTCATTTGAAATAAAGCTAAATTTAATGTACACTTGGCTTGAACATGGTACAAAACATAAAAACTTTGAAAAAATTATAGACATTATATTAGTAAGCTTATTTGTTTATTGTGATTATCAATATGTAATTTCTTTTAAAATACTTACATACAATCAGAGCTTAAAAATTATAGTAGTTACAAATGCTCGTTCAAAGGATATAAGACTTAATAATTTGCTTATTAGATTGGAGATTTGATAAATGAATTTGATTCTATGCTTCTGAATATCTCTACAAACTTAAAATTTTGTAATTGTCATTTTAAAATGTGATGCTAAATAAGATTAGAAGCCAGCTTAAGTATAGTAACTTTCTTATTTTCTCATATAATTAGTAAAAGTAAGTTTGAAAAATGTTAATTCATTTTTTTTTGGAAAAAAGAAGAAAGAGAAAAAGAAAGTAATGAATATTCTAGTAATCTTGAATTACCTTTTCGTCATAAAAATTTGGGGTCAAAATTTATATTTTTCATTTTCAAAGCTGAGAAATAGAATCAAATTTCAAATTAATGAAACATCAAATGTGTTGTGTAATAAATCAAGAATAAGTTCGAAGTTAGGAGATTTATAGTTGGGAGTTTAATGTTTGGAATTTTCATTGTCGGCCTCATACTCATCTTTCATAAAGCCAAAGACTTGTCCTTCAATGCTTCCGCCAGCACCCGAGGTAAGATCTATCACATTGAAGCTGCTCGAACAAGTTCTATTCCGAATAACTACGCGTAAAGATTAGGTATACAGTAAAAGTTCAAGAAGGCAAAAAAGTATGAACTCATCACCATTCATCCATTTTTTCACGGATTGATTACTTGACTGTTATTATTATATCACAAGCACACGCAATTTTTACATGTAGTTGTAGCTAATACTGAAATCATAATCCAGCAAGCACAAAAATTGTTCACATGACGTCTACATATAATACAGTTAAAAGTAAACATGATATCATGTATGTTCATCATTAGTTACTTTGATCTTAAGTAATACAGTATGATGATCAAATTTTTTTTCATATATTGTTAGAAAAGAATTATTCTACACAAAGCACTCGCGGTCCAATCCATAAATGATTTTTTCAAAATAGGTTACACCCAACGTCAAGAAGAGTTTAATCAGTAGAATGATGCTCATGCTCTCTCACAACCACCGCAATCCTTTTTATTTCCATCACAATAGTTTCCACTCAATGAAAATATGTATTTTAATTTGTCATCTTCCTGAGTCCAATGGAATATTGGAGTCAGGAACATTCCCGGTATCAGAACCGGATTACCGGGAAGTCTCATTGTCGTCCGTCGATTTCGCCGGCATCGATGGATGCAAGAAAGGGACAGAAGCCTCGAGCCTCAAATTGCACGCGAGAGTCCGTCAAAGTTCTGCTTTTGTCGCTCGCCTTTAGTCGTCTCGTTTGTGGGCTCGACGGCCCGGTCACTTTAAATTGTAGCAGTGCTAGTGGCCGCAAATTCCTCGCAGATCCTTCGAATTCTGTAGTTTTCTACAGCTAGGGGAGGGAGCAACAAATGGACGGAACGGATATCACAACCATGGTAAGCTGGAGCTCCGAAAACATTCGATTTCAGGGGATGGATGCCAAGAAGTCTTCATTTATATTTAACGGTGTTGTTATCTTCCTGCGACGATTTTTACGGTACAAATGCGTGCAATGGTAAATTAGTCCAAAATAATTTTTTCGAGCAGTTCCCGATGAATTTGTAGCTCCGATTCATTGTGCTTGGTCAGTATCAGTTCTGCATTCAATATTCGCCTGGGAGACTTCATGTTTAGTGATAGTTTGCGAAGAGAAAGCCAAAATTTTTGTTCGAGGTCATGTCCTACACGACGCTGTGATTCTTGGGTTTTTAGATTCTCTGGCTGTCTTATGGATCATTAGGGTGTGGCAGCTCGCTATGTCAGCACGATGACTGACAACTTTTCCTCGTACGTTAGCAGTCCTATCTACTGTGACAGTGAGCATGGCAGTCATTGTTTCGGTAGGTTAATTGCATATGGTTTAAATTCTCCCTTCTTTCTGCCTGGATCCCGAATCAAGCAGACGAGGCTTATCATTTGAGACTGAACATAGGATTCCTGTCTCAATAGAGCGGACTCTAGGGCGGTGAGGCAAGTTTGTTCTTGCTTCAGAGATAGGTGAAATTACTGTAGGAAAGTCCGGGTCAAAGTCCTCTCTTGAATTTTCTCGCTTTTACAAGTCTTCACAGGACCTACCACCATTGAAGGGCTGAAATCCTTCCCAATTACCGAATAGCCATTTTACTTGTCTAGAGAGATTTAGAGTGATCTTCGAATTTTTGATCATGGGCTTTGGCTCACCACATCAGGCAGATTCATGATGTGTGCTCCGGGGAGGTGAATCCTACCGAAAAAGTGGATGGGAGAATTGCCGTGTTGCAGAATCACAAACAATTATCGCAGAGTGCTCATTACTTTGATGTTTGTGGCCTGCTTTTGAAACCTTAATTGCATAATCTAATATTGTGCTTTAGCAGCATTGATGTCGGAAAACCTTCGTATTTTTTAATGTGCATCTTTAATAGAGCTTCTCATGAATTGTGAATCGAAGAAAAGTAATTCGATTTCATTCTAGGATTTGTCAGGTGGAGGTTATATGAAAACCTAAGAATAAGTAACCTTTAATTGTTGTAAGTCCTCTGCTGTCGGTGGCAGCACTCCATCTTGGTTTCAGTCAAGTTAGGTGCGTTGAATTGGCAACCTGGAATATCTGAAAACTGCTGTAAGCTTAGCTTCGTAGGTCCTGAAGGTCGTGTTCGTCATGCGTGCAGCAAGGAGAAGAAGGAGCTAGTGGTGAAGAACAGGGTAATGTGCCAGATGAAGAAACCAGGATTTGTAATGAAGCTGGTGCTATCTTGCTGAAGGGTGGATCAGGGCTTCGTATTGCAGGATGGACAATACGAACAAAAAAGTGTACAATCCTGAAAATGGATGAAGTTGAGAGGTCTGCTTCTCTTTCATTTTGCATTTAGCTGTATGCACATTTTTAGTGTTCATTCGTTCGTTTGGCTATCTCTTTATAAATATTTTGAGTATTTAGCTGACTATCATTAGTGATGTTAATTCTGCCAGTTATCTGCTGCCCGCTCAAGGCTGTTTAAAACTTATGACGGAAAGTCTCTTTGAACGTGCTCAGGTGGGGGCAGCTGTTGGACACAACTCATTTGCCAGAGATGGTTTTCGGGGATAGTTCACTTGAACTTATACATGAGGCAACTGGAATCAAGATTCACTTTAATGCACTTGATGGTCTTCGAGGATGGAAAAAGGAGGGTCTGCCTCCTGTTGAGGTTCCAGCTGCAGCCAAGTGGAAGTTTGCCAGGTCTCATTCAAATTCACTGTTATACTCGATGATCGCTTTTGTGAATGTGAAGGCCAATCGTAATTGGAGTAGTGCAAACGTTTCGGTAGCTAAATCGATTGTCACTGGTAAATTGTTGGTTTGTGCAGCAAGCCGAGTCAACAAGTGATACTTGATTATGATTATACATTTACCACACCATACTGTGGTAGTGAAAACTTGGAACCATGTGGCCAGGTCTGTCACATAGCTCGTATTTTCTGTTGTATCTATCTGACAAAGTTCGCTTCTAGGCGAGTCGGCTCTTACTCTGCTGGGTTCTGTACTGATAACTATTGCAGATTGCGTGCTTTGATAGGATTTGACTCCAGATGTATGCACCCCACATGCACTATGCGTCTCTAGGCTGGCTGGTACAACAAGAGAGGGGTGGGGTTCATGACCAATTGCCTCACTTCTTGCAGACGTCTGCTTTGAGCGTAAGAGATGGAAGTGCGGCTGAAAGAAATGCAGAAGCTGACTCTCCCCCAGCCCTGGAGTGGGTAGAATGTGAAGAACAGATAGATCTGGTATCTTTACAACAAAGGGATCCAATCTTGTTCTTCGACGAGGTAAACTTTGCGTGTCGGAGGTTCTCCGTACTGCACTCGCCGACTTGCTAGACGTTGCTCCTAACAGTCCCATCTCTCACTCGTAGACTTTTTGTGGTCAGTTCTTAAGTGAAAATCAGTTTTGCTGCTCATTAGTAATGAACGCTGAGAGTATTTTATCTGTCGTTGACGGATACGGAGTTGTATGAGTTCAAACGAGCTGAAATATCGAGGCGTAGAATACACTATCGTCTGTGATGATTAGAGGTTAGGTTGGTCGTCATCACTTTCTCGATATTGCGAGAGTGTAGTGGCTGTGTAGTGAAGTCATTAGTGATTCAAGTTCTTGCGTCCTCATATTTGTAGCATGAAGTCTTTGAGATGCATAAGGTAGAAAGCACCTCTGGTGGTGAAAGTTTCTGAACCGAGCAGCGTTATGGTTTTGCAGGTGATTTTGTTCGAAGACGAACTCGCAGACAATGGGATTTCGCTCCTGACTGTTAAAGTGGTATGTAATTCTCACAATTTTGACCTCTGACAGGAGACTACCGCAAAATCAAGACGTTCAAATTATACACGCGTAGATCTTAGCTTGGCTTGATTCTGCTCTCGAAAGTGGACCTGTGCAACAAGTAATCAACCGAGATATTATAGAGAACTTTGTTTGTCGAAGGATGATGATCTTTGGAGCACTACTTAAAAATTATCGCGTCATGTGCAGAGAGTGATGCCGAAGTGTTGGTTCCTCTTGCTAAGATACTGGGTGAGTTGCTGATCATTTAAAGATCTCCGTCTGTTGTCGCTCATCGTACTTTGGTTTATTCATTCTGCTCTCTAGACATCCTCCCCAAAGGACCCTCGTTCGTGAGCAAGAGACGCCACTAGAAATGACCCGATTAAATTAATCTCCGTCAAGATACGTCCCTGTTTTCTTATTTGTTCTGATAGGCTGAAAGCTGTAGACATTTTGTGACCAAGTGGGTGGGCTTTTTTAACAGCTTCGAGTGGATGGCGTACTGATGAGACTGCGGGATACGCGAGTGTTTTCGAAGTTCTCTTCTGACCCAAAAGAAGTTCCTGTTGTTCTTAGAGAACGTTGCGTAAAGGAAGACACTTTCCAGTCTTTGGCGTCAAGAGGTTATCCCAAAGATGCTGGTGCTTACGCGGATCCAAGTGTAGCAGGAAACCGACTGCAAACAAAGTTAATAATTTCAGAAAAGTTGGTGCTACGTAGATAGAGAAACCATTCAATGTACCAGATTTTTTATTACTTGGACTGTCTATCCCCTTAGAGCTCAGAAAGCCTACCACGAAGTATGTATAACTTCAAATGGAATCACGTGACGATCGTCAGATTGTGCACAGGCTATGTCAAAGTCCCCTGCGAGCGTAGACGACGCATAGCAAGACTGATCAGTCATCGTAGTTGTACATCACCTGGTACATTCTTCATATCTCTACGCGGCTTGAGTTCTCTCATCCGTGCAAGAGATTATTCACATATGAAGTTCAGCCTGGGGATCACATTCTAGAAAGCGTTAGCTCTTCATTTGTTACACAAAGACCTAATTGATCTTAAATTAAAGAAACTTGCACAGTGGTGCTTGTGACCGTAGTATTACATCATGGATCTAAGATAAGCTGTCCTACCTCGAAACTTGCATCATCGTATGGCTAAGATGGAATCAGAGTACATTCTCTGACGAATACGCACTGCCCAGAGTATACCAGCTCAGGTAACAAGATATTCCTTCTCCACCGTAATGGACGTTAATGGTAAACAGCTACACGCAGTTGAAACAGTTCTTTCACAGACTGATTTGAATTGCCCCGGTCGCTTCTTGAGGCCGGACATTTCGGACATGAGGTCATCACAGTACCTATCGATGCCACGTTCCTATTATCTCACGTTACTATAAACAAATTCGTGCAGACGCTTTGGAATCCGCGAAGAATAGCAAGGCTTTGATTGAATAAGGGAAATACTAGCATGGACATGCAATCAGATCCGATCAAACTACATCTCCGAGCCCATCGGCCATCCGGTTCATAAGAATCAGGCCAAACACGTGAGATTTGGAGTGTCAGACAGAAGGTTCCCATCGACATTCCGCAGAAAAGTTTAGCTTAAGAATAGTGCTCAGCGAGAGTTGGGGCTCCTGCCGCTCGTGAGCGAGATGTCGGTTCGGGAATCAGCGTGTCGCGCAGGGGAAAGCGAGTATGGCTACTCCCACGCTTTCTCAGAGTCGGATAATATCTACGGCAAATAGAATCGTACGCCCGTGCTTATCTTCTCGTCCCGGGCCGAATAGAAAGTTCTTTTTATCGATGGAAGTACACCTGTACGACCCCTCGTTTTCGGCCGACCGGTGGACCGGTTGACTTGTCAGACCGCAAATACTGTACTTTCAGAGCACCTTTGTAGTTCAGACAATTTAGTCCTTTCCCCACTATTGATAAAGTTTGGAGGTCGGCATTCCCCGTACCCTCCTACTAGCACGTGCCCTACCCCAACATTATATCCACAACAAACCAGATTGTATACGATTTTTCTTTCTATTCTTTAAACTGGCTGGTTAATTTTATTTTATTGACCTACTTCCTATATATCCCAATACATGTGCCATTGCCCGGATAATAATATCTTAAGCATGTAGATTAAAGTTTGCGAAACATGTGATGGGATTGGTATTAAACTCGCGAGCATAAGGCATCGCTGAAGTTGTACTGTCTCTTGAGCAGTAGTGTCATAAACCGATGAAGATGCTCCTCGATTGAATAGAGTCTTAAGAGACAGGAAAATCATGTAAAGGGTGAACAATCTCCGTTTGAATATTCATGGAACAAAGGTTTTGACACGTTGTTTTCAATTAACGGGTCCGACTTCAAATTGTTTAATTTTTTTAATATTCAGTGCAAAATAAAAAGAGAATATAATTTAAATAATAAGAATATATATATATATATAAATAAATTGGATTTTTCGAAAAATAAAAATTTACCAATTCTCATTGCCTGATTTACGTCATGCATTAAGAATAATAATGATTTGATATAATTCAAGTCTTGTCTATGTACACAAAGTTGAGCGTGTTGATAGAGAGTATTTCAATGTAATTATCATCGATAGAATATTTAATTAGCTTAGAAATGTATTGAATAATAAAATTTTATATTTATTTATTACGAAGTGAAGCGTTCGATTCGAGAATCTCTAAATTTCTCGATTCTCGATCATTTCTAAAGAATGATCGAGATTATTAGGAATGTAAAGCCAATCTTGTATCAACTCTTGGGCCAAGTATACTCTAAAACAAATCCAAAAATCCAAAAAGGATGAATCATTCTATGATATTTATACATGTATCCAGATTTGGTATTAAATGGTTAGGATTTTCAATGAAAAAAGACGTATTAGATATTCGTTTTAGTCTACTCTGTTCATAATATTTTAGGCTACTAATATTCATCGATTTCTTCTTGATCGTACCCGAAGTTGTGGAGTATAATCTCGAACAGACCGTAAGATGTTTCTCTCTCTTGAGCAGACCCAGTACGGACAAGAGTATGTTCATGGGTGATGTGGAAACCAGTCAATTTCGCAAGGTCTTGGCAATAAGCAGAGAACCTCAGTCGACCAGGTTTAGGAATGTGCACTCATGTCTTGGGATGGAGGAATGAACCGCAGTAATAAATTTGGACGCAAGATTGCAGTCGTTTCACTGTCCATGCGGTAATCACAAACGCATCATCTCTCAAGCTTCCACGAAACTCCACACTCATATTCTTTTCTCGCCCGGCTGATATCGGTCTCTATACATCTGTATTCATCCGCATCTGATCCCTCACCATCGACCTTTGCTTCAAAGTCGCCTTCCGTTTGCGTAAAGGACAGAATTAGAGCTCTCCTTTCAGACGTCTTTCAGAGCCGACATAGACTTGGATAGCTCCACCGCTACACTCATTCGATTAGTCCGTCTTTCTAAAGAGGGACTAATCGAACCTCCAGCGCTTGCGGCATTGGCTCCTTCCTGCTGTGTTTATTTCCTTCTCAGCAAATAATCGTCAGCGAGGCTTCTCCGAGTTTTGATTGTCGGTTCAATAAAAATTTTACCTGACCAGCAGTCTACATCGAACTGGAAGTGCCGAAGAAACTCAACACAGCCTAATTCATGATTAGCCCACCAACATCCTAGCAATATGTCTATCGTTAAAATTACCAACATGTCAAAATCAAAATCAAAATATGAGACATAAACTCCTTCGTCGACTCTGCAAAACAAATGTCATCGGTCAAGTGCTCATCGTCCTCTCGGAAAAGGCAAAGTTTCCCACCATCCTACGTTCAACGAGCTCACCCCGTCGCTTGTGCTGAAGCTCTTCAAACGACAAGAAAAAACAGAAATTAATTTAAAATTTAAGAATGCTACGACACTTGATGCTGCAAAGTTTGATTTACATTATGAAACCCATCAAATGCTCATTATGTGCTCTTACTAATCAAAGACGTCCTTTCAATACTCACCACCCTAATGAGGAACATGAGCCAGTAGGAAAGACAAGAAGGACGGGAAGACCCCCATCAAGTCGTACTGTGATGAAACCATCGGGACCAACCCTTTTCGACCATGTTCATGTCCGCAGTTTCAGTTCTTATATGAGAAGATAAACAAGATCGTGGAACCCTTCAGCATGGCTTACAGTCAGTCTGGGGTCTGCTCGAGGACTAGAAACATCTAAAGGTCTGATGAGTTTTTTCGCTCGACTTGCGGTACGATCAAGAAGAACTCGCAAATATTCTTCCTTAAAGAGCTGGTGATGTCATGCAACGTGAACACTGGAGGTGAACAATCCACAAGTCCTTCATAGAATAAATGTGTCAGGAAAAAATGAGTTTCCTAAGAGAGTCTCATGTATATACTAAAAGTGGAAAAGAAGAACACATGTAAAATATATTTCATTTCAGTTGGTTATCCACATGACTGTCTTTATTGGGAATGGGGAACTCTTGTCTTCGCTGGAGCAAATTTTCCAAGAAACATTGAACCCAAATATGAAATGATAGATCGTGTTCTTTTAGTTCATAGATAGGAAATTGGCCAATAAACACTCTCACTCACAGCCACAGTAGACTGTCAAGGTACATTACGGAAGAAGTTGTTATTCATCTGCAGGATGGGGCCCTCTAAACCAGGAACACGGCTTTGTGATCAGAAGGGTGTAGGGCCAGGGGTCTGGCCGGACCAACTCAAACCTTGTACATTTTGGAAGACCTGCCTAGAATTAGAACATGTGGAGCATGGGTTTAGGAAAAAAATAAAATACCTTATGTAATTTCCTGTGTACTAAAAAATAGTGAAGGAAGAGGGTTGGTTGATGTCGGTCAGATGAATACATCGTATATATTCATTGCTCTAGTGTATGTACATTCAGGAAGTACTAGTGGAAGCGTCTATGGCAGTTGAAGTGAGCGAATGTTTCATCCACTGGACAATGCCGTTAGCTTTCCCACACGCGGTTTAACATGGAGCCATGTTCGGCAGATATAAATTGAAACAAATGTGAGCTTTTCCTCCCCCACCTGCTCATGTCACATGACAACTTAAATATATTTTAATACACAAGGGAACAAAATCTATCAGTGCCTGATTTATAGGCACCAGTATCGTTTCACCTCTTGGGAAAATCTGCAACTTCCCATACATAAGCCACTGGTCCTCATCAAACACGTAAACTCAGTGCGACTCGCTGGCGGATAAAACTACCCTCCAGGTGTAGCTCGTTCGAACATTCAGATGAATCTTCGTGGTGTGTTATCGCGGAACCGTCTTGTTCGAGAGAATGAAGACAGGAATCAGAGGGCTACCTCAACCGAACTAGTTGACCATCACGACCATCGTGAAGCACGCTGTGAGCAACATTAGAGCGCTAAAAAAAGTCCACTACGATGCATACATGCATAGATAATATTTGCGCCCCGATCACTTAGGGCACCAATCAATCTAAGCAAGGTCTGAGTCAACCTCGGATGCAAATCATGCATCAGATGCCGGAGGTAGCCTTTTGGGAAGCAGCGGGCCAGGAACAGGGGAAAATCGATGCACTATTAATAAGCCCGGGGGAATTAAATCGGTCGAATAAGATGCGCACTCGAAATTCCTACCGGCCTCGGCCAATCATGCATTCCCCGGACGCAGAAGATAATCACGAGCCGCGTAAAATAATGGGCTCAAGCATGGCGTGATTTGATTTAATATACGCCGAGAATGATCTCCAGGCTCGCCGCCGCCGCAAAAAGCACAGTCGGGAGTTTGACCCGGGACGTTAGCGGGCGAGGGGCAGGGGCCGGGACCGGGTGGGAGGAGCTGGCACGGCCGAGCTCACCGCGCGCTGGGAGTAATGGGGCAGCTTGGAGCTGCCACCAAAGGTAGGGCCACTGTTGGGGCGAGGCTGATCCATCAGATTGGAGCGGAACTTTTTGAAGATCGCGGCCCCAGATTCGATTTTACGCGAGCGACAGGTTGGAGCAGCGAGCTGACCCGCTTCATAAGGCGCGGCTGAAGCCTGTGGCATCTTGTTGTTTTGTGGTGACAGAAGTGCAAGGGTGAACTAGAAGAGGACGAGAATCGAGGAGCAGAATTTGGGGTAGAGGGGAAGTCGAGTAAGGCCCGCAGCGAGAGGCGGAGGAGAGGAGAGGAAGGGAAGGCCTGAGGGGAGGGGAGGGGAGCTGAGGTGAAATTGAAAGGAAGGGCCGCGAAAGGGCTTGTTGTCCTGGAAGAAGTTTGAGGAAGCGAGAGACGAAACGAGACGAGACGAGACGAAACGAGACCACAGATTTTCGTAGAGGAGGGACGCGAGAGGAGGTTAGATAGGCAGACACTGAGCCGAGGTCGTGTCGACGAAGACTGGTACAAGACGAAGACGACGGGCGGCGAGAGAGCGGGGGAACTCTTTCCGACGGATTTTAGATAGCGGAAGGAGACTGGTCAAGATGAGGGTTCAGTGTGATGGATGTGAGAGGGCCGTGGCGTCGATTATGTGTTGCGCGGATGAAGCTGCCTTGTGTAACGAGTGTGACACCCGCATTCATGCCGCGAACAAGTTGGCGAACAAGCACCAGCGAGTTTCTCTGATGGGTCAAACCGAGTCTCCTCGGTGTGATATTTGTCAGGTAAATTTGCCCAGCCGCGACCCCGAGACGTATTAGGTCGTGTCCTGAAATCATGCGCCGCATGCAGCAACTGTATTTTCTGTGGAGGTTCGGACAGGAAAAAGTTTTGAGCGGCTCGTAACGAGGATGTGTTGGGCTTGCTTCTCTTCTCATGCTGTCGCCGGTCTGTTCTAATGGCCGTGGTAAACCTGACGGTGAAGTCCCGAGGAGTGCATGCTAGGACGAGGATGTACTCTCTATTATCTTTTCACCGTATGTGGTTGGATCTTGCAGGAGAAGTCAGCATTTTTTTTCTGCCTGGAGGATCGAGCCCTTCTCTGTAGGGATTGTGATGTTTCGATACACTCCGCCACCGCTCTGTCTTCTGCCCACCAGCGGTTCCTGGTGCCTGGAACGAGAGTGGCTCTGGAGGCTCTTAGCAATTCAAGCCCCGCACCGCAAGAAACGGCTACAAGTGAAGAGCTGGCTCGGCATCCTCTATCTTCTATCATCAACGGCACTGCCACTAACTCGTCCAAGTCTCCATCCGTTTCTTACAAACAATCTTCGTATTACACACCCACTCCTTCATTCACATCGCCGTCCTCAGGGAAGACTTCTGTCATCACTTCGAACAAGTCTGTGGGGATGAGCAATACCTCTGCAAGTCATCAAAGCGTGTCTAGCACTCAAGCGAAGAGGACAAGCATTACGGAGTTCCTTTCTGACGCCATTCCCAACTGGCGCGTGGATGAGTTACTGAACATCCCCGAGTTGGGAGAAGGATACAGTCTCGGCGATATAGCGTCCTCCAAGGTAGTTGACATTGATAACGGATCTGTTTGCATGTCGGCCGTGATTGAAGTTTTACCTAGCCTTGGAGAAAACTGTTTTTCCCGTGCTGCTTTGGTCTGTGTTGTCTCACTTGCGTTGTGCTCATTCTATTTGCCTTGTTTTTGGACCAGGCCGATCAAGCGAACCTCGGAGATTACGATTGGACTGCAGATTTGAGTCTATTTGACGAGCAAGTATACGCCGAGTCTTTCCACGAGGTTCCACAGATGTTTTCGAATCCTGCTGCGTCAGGGATGTGCCGCACGGGTAGAGCTACAGGAGCCATGAAAGGCAAAGCGAAACAGGATTCCCTCGTGCCTGAGTACGACGATGCGTTTGTTGTTCCTGACCTTGGCCTTCACTCTGCTCCAGCCTCACCACCGGTGGCTAAGAGGCGGAGACTACTAGAAGTATAATAGTTATAGTATTACCGCGCCAGTCCGTTTTACACATGGATTTGTTCAGTCTTCTTGCGCAGTCACCAGAGTTGGCCGTGGGGTTACACTGACTCTGATTGGAACTGACCGAAGAAGCTCGAAGACGACTTGGTGTTCATACTAGCTTCATCAGTTCAGGCAGATGTCGAGTAGAAAATGCTTTCGACGGAGCTTGAGATCCGACAACTGGAGAAACTATATCCTGGAATACAGGAGCTCAGACAGCAGCTGTTTTTTCATGTATAGAAACAGAGTCTATACGTGTTACCACGTGGAAGCATAACGCCAGTTTGGTGAGTACTTGAGGGTACTGGCCAAGTCATCTTTCTCCACATTGAGGTTCGCCCACGGTGAAGCTAGCCTCCCTGGTCCCGTATTTCTTATACAATCGCTCTATGCGGTAATGGTAAATTTTTGCCCATATTGATCTTGGGTTTGCTCCTATAGATTCTGTCTTGTACAGATAGCGTCCACTATAGGAGTCTCAGCATGAGTCCAGCAAAGTACGAGAAGTTAAGAATCATCGTTGTAGATTTTCATGCAGAGAATGTGGACGCACATCGAACTGCTGGAGCCGCAGATAATACATCACCCCAATAGAACATCGTCGACGTTAGCGACTGGTACAGGTGGCAATTTTAGTGACAGGAAATTCGACGCTCTAAAACCTTTAGAATCCTCTCAGTAGAGGCGGGTGACCTTAGAGTTTTTTTCATCTTGTCAAAAACCTCATTGTACAGCAGCAGGATGTTGTTTCTTCTTGTAGATTAGGCTCAGGTGAACCCTGGTTATAGAGCGAGAGACATCTTGGCTTCTGCAGTGTTGGAGCTAATTACTTGATATCCGTTCTCATTTCTGTCTCGGCTTCATATCTTGAAGAATTGAGTTGTATTATGAGGCCCGCATTTTCAGCGTTGCCGATTCTATTGGTGGTTACGGAACGGTGATTTCACTGTCTTCATATTATCCTCACTATTTTGCCTCCGCAGTTGGATGTTGTCACTAAAGACTCCTTTGGAATGGGTGACTTGTTTTCTTGGTGGTAGCCATTTCTGTCCACTCCGTGAAACTGTGAATGAGGGCAGTTTGAGGCTTTGTGGATCCGAGTGGTTCTTGCCGATGTACGGTAATCCCGTGCCTTTCGTACAGAAGTCATGCAGTTGTATTGTCCTTTATCCGCGGTTCATGGAGTTGCTTCTCATGAGGAGTGGGCTGGCATGCCAGATGTGGCAGTCCTGCCCAGTGTCGAAGTTCCTTTTTTGAGTGGGGTCGTACTCCACCTTTCGTGTTTTTACCTGCCCATATTATCACCGAAATGCCTGCGAGCTAAAGACAAGTGGGCAAGGAAAGCATGAGCAATCATCATCCCACAAGTGAGACTTTTCACGAGACGAGATACAAGCCTTTAAGAGAGACTTTTTCCTTTGAACAGTCAGAAAACTTCCAGACAGAGTTTGCATCCAAAAGCACCTGGGAAAAAAATAGGCTGTGATCATCACTGAACTTCAAAACCATGTTCGGTCTATCGATAGGACAAACAGCGATGCTCTGGCAAGTGAAGAAGCCAACTTTGGAGGTTAGGTGATTGTCGCAAAACTTGAGAGAGTTCCGCGACAGACTTCCCCATGAATTGACTGTTTACGGCCATACATGTCAGATCTCACAAATCTAAAACACTCCGCACAATGAAGAGAGCTAGCGGAAATGCAACATAATGTCAGCTACTCTGAACCCGCACCGCGAGCACCGGGGTCATTCTAACAGGACAGAGTTTTAACAGGACGTAATTTCTCCAACTTAACAGAGACATGAAATTACAATCTCGTATCTCTGCGGCAATCACCAACAACCTCATTCACGCAGGCCAAAACACCTTTCATCTCATATATTACCGACCTGAATATTCCAAGAAGACTGAAAATTCCGGAGGCATTCCTCTGACTCTTCAAACATTAAAAATCCTTGCAACCTTTCCGAGAGGAAAGAATACGATGTGCCTTAGAAGCAGCTGTAGTCTTTCAACTTGCACCCTCTTTAGTAATCGGAGATCAAGGAACTTTATCATGCAAGCATCTCCTATGATCGAGCAAATCAAGACTCGAGAAATAAAGGCATCAAAGTGGCGTGAAAGCGCAATAGGTGTCCGTAAGTTGCAATCCAACATTAAGGCTCCATGAACTCTTCTGTTTCTTATACCGGGTGGCGGGCTTCGACTCGTCCATTTGTGGCACTTGGTGGCAGACTCAAAATCTTCACTCCGCTTGGGACCCTTGAGGCAATGGTATCTTCGAAACGTGCCACGGCATCTTTGTCTCGCGCAGTGAGCAGCTCCGTCCACCCGCGGAGCGCACTCGTTGCCATTCACGGATATGGTAAAGGAAGTGTCGAGCATGCGAAGCTCGGCTCCGGTCGCACCAACCGAGACGAGACGGAGTGCTCCGCTGTTCGCGGAAAGTTCTAGTGTCCGCATCTGGTGGGCGGTGATTGCACCACCGGTGAATAGATATGGATAGGCCGCGGTAAAGCTCGCAGGGGCCACCGACTCCCATCACCTGTCCCACAAATCCCATCGCTGGTTCGCAGTCGCCCTCAATAACTGCTAGGCCCGGAGAATGTACCTTGCACTTATGGAGTGCATGATTATGTGTACATGAAATGCTGCTTTTCACCATTTTGAATCTGAGCATGGAGTGGGCAAAGTCGCCGCGGGGCTTATTCAGCTTGTTTAATACTGTTCGCTATCTCGACCTCTTTGATAAGTCTGACCGTGCAAGGTGCTGTTCGATAAGTTTGAAAAGAACAGGGCTTTCGATAAGCGAAAAAAGAATTTCCCTAAACCCGAAACAATAACACGAACAAAACGAGATTTTCATTCCAGTCAGCAAGAAAAGAATTTCCAAATCAACCACATACGGCGCTTGCAAGTTCGACAAACTTTTAATATCTTATTGAGAAAATTTATAATCAAATCTAATGATTAATTTATGGATGATAAATTTGATACTGAAATTTTTTATGTTTCATGTATGATGACAAGATTATCATTTCGAGTTTAGGGTTTTCTTATAAAAACGTGTCGCAGTCCTCTTCTTCATTTATCAGTAGGCAAAGAAAGATTTTTCTTGACTTCCTTCTTTTGAAATTGCTCGGCTAGCCTCGAGCATGCGGTGTTCATTATAGGGCTTACTATTTCACAAATAAGTTAGACATGATTTTCATCCTTCGGTACCGACACCATTATATAGAGTATGTTTGACGCTAGATTCAAATGTCGAAAGGGGACTTGACGAGTTCTAGGTACATAACATCAGATGCAATAATCGTATTTTAAATGAACCTCGATAAAATAATGATGAAATGTGAGGAACGAAATGTAAGTCCAAGGAAAAAACGTCAATGCTTCTGAGAAGCCAAAGCCCAAACCCCACGTACCGAAGATGTGAGTCAAAAAGATTGTCCGTTCCTCATATAATGTTCGATCAAGTAAGACAACAAAGCCATCCAGCCTTATAAAGCTGCAATTAGTGCTCAAATACACATAGAGAGCGAATCTTATACGTCGCCACTATCAACCCAACCTGATGCAGAGAATGAATCTTTCCAAGTGACGCCAAAAGTTTTTAGTGGAACGAAAAACACTTCCATACTTTTAAATGTTGGATACCATCATAGAAGATGATGCAACTTATGTCCCATTTTATATAATGGTGAAACATGAAGAGCCTTCACTTTTGAAGCATGATAAAATTCAGTTATTTATTGGACTTTGGATAGAAGAAAATGAACGAAAATCTAAAAATTGATAGATCTAAGGGGAATTTTGCAGCCACCTATTGATATCTAATAATGCCGACTGAGAATTTTAGTTTTTAAATCTCGTGGAATGCAAGCGGAACAGGTCCTCTACTACTGTAGCATCGAAATAAAAAGGTGTGAACGCAGAAGATTCCCTTAACCACTCAACCTCTGTCATGGTGGGCTCGTGCTCCTCATAAATTTACTTTGCTTTAAAAAAAGAAAAGCAACAGCATGTCTGCTTGAGACCACGGCATATATTTCCGCCTTGACATTTGTGACGTAGAGTATTACGAGCTCCATACCATCTGGGAAAAACAACAAGAACAACAAGGCTAAATATTCTCCAGCTAACGAATATTTGAACACGCATGACTTTCAAATGCACCCTCAAATGTGAGGCAGCTCCCAACTTCCCACGAGCAAAACACAAATCTAGCGAAGATTACGTCAACCTCCATGAGTGTTCTTCGTTATGATGAAGTCCATGGCACTGGAGCCGGATATCAGCGAACATCTTTTCCTTCTCCATCGTCCTCCGTCTCCTCTTCACTTTTTCCCTTCTCCTTTGTCCCAGGAACGAACGTTCTGGAACTCCTTGTCGGCCGCGTAGGATAATAAACACACATCCCCACTATAGAAGGTAAGGCTACAGAACGTACATGTCTAATTCGCCTTTCTAAAATAAAGCGGCAAAGTTAGCATATTTCGACACCACTGCATAGGACACCTTTGGACGATGGCGCACGTTTTCCCCCTTGACCTTCGACTTACGAGGTACGTGTCCTCGAGTCCATGCTTCTGGATGGCTGTCAACTTTGAACTTTTGTCGAACAACTGGCCCTAATCCACAAATGTCAGGGCGTTAGTTCCTAGACAGGACCCTTCAATTGTTTATTATATAAAGATTAGAAAAAGCGTCAGTTGTAACATCAGCATAGACTTCGCACTTTGTTCCTTGCAAGGTCTCGTCTTCCATTGCCTCGTTCGCTGACCATCCCATCTCTCGTCGCACTTAACGCTTTTGGTTTCCGAGCATTATCAACCTGAAATATATACATACATGGATGAGGTAATTTTAGCATAGTTTAATATTTCGATATGAGCAGAGCGTAAGTGGATTGTCTGCGACGGCCTCCGTCCATGTGGTGCTCTGACGGATGTCGACACAGCGCTCTCGGCCGGACGATGATGTAAGGTCCAGAGGCAAGTTTCCGTCCACCACGAGCGGGCCGCAAAGATGGGAACCGTCCGTCCTGGAAAGAGGGTATAGGCGCTGTCGTACAGTATTTCAGACCATTGGGTTCACGTAGGGGCCGCCCGTCCCGTCCCGTCCCGTCCGACCCTACGGGCCGAGGCGCCGTTCATTGGCCGAGAAGGCGGGCGCGGGCGGGCCCGCGGCGCTCTTGAGACATGATGAGGAATTTGAGATGCGGGCCTTTCGGGTGCGAATTCAATTTGGCTTACTTCAAGAAGTGGGGGCCGGGTGTTTGATTCTGTGCAGTGGCGCAAAGGTGCCGAAAAGCGGCCGAGCGAGTTTCCTGCGAAGGATCGCTCTTATCCTCGCGGGGCGGGTTCGATGGAGTTTGGTGCACATGTTAGAACGTAATCCGACGGACGATTCTGGTCTTCTAATTGGCATGACTTGATGTTGTCCTCCGCTGCTGTGTCGACAGGGATATCGACGCATGATTAGCCAGCACGGAAACTTAGTGGACAAGTTTTCTCTTTCGAGACAACATTTATGGTGGCATCTTCTTCTTGCGCTTCATAATTGATTCGTGCGAGTTTTGGGTAAGACGGATATTGTTGGTGTCTTCATTTGCACGCGTCCTAAGTACATATCCCAACATGTCGTTTGCAGTTTACATCTTCATGGGCCATGAGATAAAAGGGAAACAGACGCTTGTAATAAAAAGCGCCTGCGGCCATGTTCACAACGGTTTCATCACTTGGCAAGACGCTGTGGGCCAAGACATGCATCACGACACTTACTCTGCTCGTTGTGGGGACTTGTGGTGTTCACTGTTTCGTCATCACAAGAGCACTTCTTTTCCAGCTTTACCCGATGTCATGTCAGTTCATAGTGGTGGTTTACAACCTTGCGAACGAGGTACATTGGATATGATCGTCGAACCGTTATGAATGAGAGACATTGTTTTATCATGCAAAAGTACGTAAGAATACGTATTCAAATAACCAGCACTAGATACATACCTATCAATTCTTATTGTGTGAACTTTTGAACAGGTGAGAATACATATTCAAGTAACCTAAACGAATTTAACAAATATTGAACCTTTTGAGATGAAACCAGAAAGGTAATATCCTCCTGGCCCCATAGAAAACATATATTATGGGAATCTAGGTTATATGTGTTAGTGGAAATTTTATGATCGGAAATTAGAATAATCGTCTAACAGTTTTGCTACCATGTAGATTCTACCAACAAAACGTTATAAATGCAACATTGTCTTTTATTTTGATGAAAAGTGGTCTACGCATGACAGAGTGATAATTGTTTTGGATTAATATGGTATCGTAAAATGCTCATTCAGAAATTTATCGAGAACTCTATGTAGCTAGAGTTTGAAGGAGAAACTATACTCTTACCCCATATTTAAACCATCAATCTCCTTTTTCAAAACCTACTTTATCTGATTTTGGTCTAATCTTTTGTAACATTTGCAAAAATTTATCATTCATACCACATAAAAAATACACACATTAGTAATTGTCATTTTCAAAAAAAAATTATTTTTGTAGATAAAATATATTACATTCATTTAAGAAAAGTAATAATCACACGTGATTATTTGATTTGTAAAACTAGTAGTTTTAAGGTTTAAAAAAATGTATAGATCGGTACCGACCATGTATGATGTTCTGTTCTATTCCTCATTTAGTTCCGCCTCGGATTCTGGCCAACTGTGTCATCCAAATAGTGCATACATATTTCGAGGATAGTCCTCGAAAAATGTATTGTTACAGTTTAACTACAAATTTGGCCTATGTCAGATAACTGCAACGTTCGAGGATTCGTTCATTTATACAATAGTTCATAAGTCAGGACAGCACAGATATTCTCGTTTCCATCTATGTCCGTTGATACTTTCAACACATCAGCCTCAAAAGGGGAAATTTGTCCACCATCCAAGTGTGCAATGACGATACCATGAGCAATTATGTTTCCTTCCTGCAGCTCTGTTCTCGTCTTGAACTGTGTCCCCCTTCCGCATTCCAACCGACAGAGTTTGGAAATAATATCGATACCCGGAGGGAAGTTCCGGATATGAAAACGGCAGATATCCGTCCAGGGCAGTGCAACGAAAAGTGCAACCTTTTTACTGTTGATCAATTAACACTAAGTACAGATACACTATTCCTATCTCAAAAGCCATCGGGCCGGATTTTTGTACACGTTTAAGGCTATTTTCGGGGAGAAATTGACTTTAAATTCTCCGTGGGAAGGCCATACTTCCTTGATGACGTGCCCAAAAATGTACTCAACCCTGCACTGTCACGCTCTAAAATCGCCGCGATTTTTGTACCCTAGTGAGGCTCTGAAATGAGTCGGATCTGCCCAGTAAGATCAAAGACGGCCAGATTCCGAGAAGGAAAATGTGGGTAACGGAGTAAAATAAATAATGAGCATGGAATTTTACAAGCCGCCGGATATTACCGGGCAGGATAAACTTGCTGCCGATAATATACAGAGAAATAAAATAAAATCCAATCTGATTTACACATGATTAATACATGATTTCAGCATGATTTATACCAAGCTGTAATCTGCAGGTAACATTCACATGGACTTCTGTACCCGGCTTTGTACCTGCAGTCTATGTTCAGCAGGGGTCAGGAGCCGGGAAG